AGGAGCAATCAAGGACGATAAAGCCATCACGGAGAAACTAAATGATTTCTTTGCTTCAGTCTTCACGGCTGAGGACGTTAGGGAGATTCCCAAATCTGCACCGTCCTTTGTGGGTGATGAATCTGAGGAACTGTCCCGGATTGAAGTGTCATTAGAGGAGGTTTTGGAACAAATAGAAAAACTTAATGTTAACAAATCTCCAGGACCGGATGGCATTCATCCAAGGGTTCTAAAAGAACTCAAATGGGAAATTGCTGAACTATTATCTGTGGTTTGTAACCTACCCTTTAAATCGGCTTCCGTACCTAATGACTGGAAGGTAGCCAACGTGACAACAATATTTAAAAAGGGCAATCCTGGCAATTACAGATGGGTCATTCTAACTTCAGTACCGGGCAAATTAGTCAAAACAAGAGTAAAGAATAAAATTGAGAGGCATGTAGAAGAACATAATTTGTTGGACAAAAGTCAACATGGTTTCTGTAAAGGGAAATCATGTAATACTAATCTATAAGGCTGTGTCTAGACTGGCCAGTTTTTCCAGTTAATCAGCTGCTTTTCTGGAAAAACGTGCCAGCTGTCTACACTGGCCACTTGAATTTCTGCAAAAGCACTGACTTCCTACTGTACAAAATCAGTACTTTTTGTGGAAATACTATGCTGCTCCTGTTCGGGCAAAAGTCCCCTTTGCGCAAAACTTTTGCGCAAAAGGGCCAGTGTAGACAGCTGAGATTTGTTTTTCGCAAAAAAGCCCCGATCGCCATTTTCGCGATCGGGGCTTTTTTGTGCAAAAGCGCGTCTAGATTGGCCATGGATGCTTTTCCGCAAAAAGTGCTTTTGCGGGAATGCATTCATGTGAATCTAGATGCTCTTGTCCGAAAACTTTTCCGTTAAAAGCATTTCCAGAAAATCATGCCAGTCTAGATGTCGCTTTAGAGTTCTTTGAAGGGATTAACAAACATGCGCACATGCTTTCTGAGGGTCCCGGCAGGGTGGTCCGCGGGCCGGATCCGGCCCCCAGGCCGTATTTTGCCCAGCCCTGCTTTAGATGGAAGAATCACCCAACTGAGTGATTGGGCAACAAAATGACAAATGAAATAGGGTAGGAATAAATGGTAAATTTTCAGAATGGAGAGGGGTAACTAGTGATGTCCCCCAAGGGTCAGACCTGGGACCAATCCTGTTCAACTTATTCATAAATGATCTGGAGAAAGGGGTAAGCAGTGAGGTGGTAAAGTTTGCGGATGAGACCAAACTATTTAGGATAGTCAAGACCGAAGCAGACTGTGAGGGACTCCAAAAAGATCTCACCAAACTGAGTGATTGGGCAACAAAATGGCAAATGAAATTTAATGTGGATAAGTGTAAAGTAATGCACATCGGGAAAAATAACCCCAACTATACGTACAGTATGATGGGGGCTAATTTGGCTATGACAAATCAGGAAAGAGATCTTGGAGTTATCATGGACAGTTCTCTGAAAACTTCCACACAGTGTGCAGCGGCGGTCAAAAAGGCAAATAGGATGCTAGGAATTATTAAGAAAGGGATAGAAAATAAGACACAGAATATCTTACTGTCCCTGTATAAAACTATGGTACGCCTACATCTTGAATACTGTGTATGGACGTGGTCTCCTTACCTCAAAAAAGATATTTTGGCCTTGGAAAGGGTTCAGAAAAGGGCAACTAAAATGATTAGGGGTTTGGAACGGGTCCCATATGAAGATAGGTTAAAACGAGTGGGACTTTTCAGTTTAGAAAAGAGGAGACTGAGGGGGGATATGATAGAGGTATATAAAATCATGAGTGGTGTGGAGAGGGTGAATAAGGAGAAGTTATTTATTAGTTCCCATAATAGAAGAACAAGAGGACACCAAATGAAGTTAATGGGTAACAGGTTTAAAACTAACAAAAGAAAGTTCTTCTTCACACAACTGGTAGTTAACCTGTGGAACTCCTTGCCAGAGGAGGCTGTGAAGGCTAAAACTATAACAGAGTTTAAAGAGAAGCTAGATAATTTCATGGAGATTGGGTCCATAAAACGCTATTAGCCAGGGGATAGAAATGGTGTCCCTGGCCTCTTTTGTCAGAGGCTGGAGAAGGATGGCAGGAGACAAATCGCTTGATCATTGTCTTTGGTCCACCCTCTCTGGGGCACATGGTGCTGGTCACTGTCGGCAGACAGGCTACTGGGCTAGATGGACCTTTGGTCTGACCCAGCATGGCCATTCTTATGTTCTTATGAGATTTAAATTCTAAAGTGATGACAAAATATAGGGCACAGAGAACATTCGTTGACATTTACAAAGGTGCTATATCAACCCTATATAAAGCAAATTTTTGGCTTTGTTTTTCTGAATCCACAGTTTTTGGGAAGGCTCTATTTATCCAAACTGAAGAGTTTGTAAAAACTTAAAGAACAACAAATAGGGTGTGTCTACACTGCACTGTTATTTCGAGATAATTAGTGCTATTTCAAAATAAAAATGCGAGCATCTACACAGCCATTCCATTATTTCAAAATAATTTTGAAATAATAGATGACTTATTCCAAAATCTGTAGATTTCATTTTATGTGGAATGATGCCTATTCCAAAATAGCTATTTCGAAATAAGGTGTGTGTAGACGCTCCACTGCTGCTATTTTGAAATAGCCACTCACTAGGGCCATTCTAAGCTATTCCTTCCAAGTGACTCCTGGAGCTCTAAAGTGAGACAGCATGTCTACATTAGGAAAGCCTGCCTCAGACTAATTTTGAGGCTTCTCTGCAATGTAGATGTGCTATTTCAAAATAAGCTATTTTTGAATAACTATTCCGGAACAGCTTATTTTGAAATAAATGTACAGTGTAGACATACTTATAGTCTTGCAGCATATTAGACACTAACAAAACATTAGATGATAAGATGAGTTTTTGTGGGCAAAACTCACTTCTTCTACCTGTTACTTGAACATTTATTTTGGTGTGGGAAGATGTGACAGCCTGTCACTGGTCGGGGGGCGGGGCGGCCGGAGCCCCGATCCCCCGGAGACTGACGCCGGGGAACCGGCTCTCCGGCGTTCCCCCAGCGCGAGCGGGAGGCGGCGGCGGGCGGGGGAACTCCCCCCGAGTTTTTGTGGGCAAAACTCACTTCTTCTACCTGTTACTTGAACATTTATTTTGGTGTGGGAAGATGTGACAGCCTGTCACTGGTCGGGGGGCGGGGCGGCCGGAGCCCCGATCCCCCGGAGACTGACGCCGGGGAACCGGCTCTCCGGCGTTCCCCCAGCGCGAGCGGGAGGCGGCGGCGGGCGGGGGAACTCCCCCCGCGCCTGCGCCGGTTGCGCTGGGCCAGCTCAAAAGGGCTGGCCGCCGGCGGAGAAGGAGGCAGGCTCCCGGCAGGAGCACAGGAGCCGAGCCGGAGGCAGGACGGAGCCCGGGCGGCATACCCCGCGGCTGCCGGCCCGGCGCTGGTCCCGAGGCCTTCGGGACAGCCACTGCCCCTGGCGGTCCCTCAGCCCCACGGCAGACGGGGGGCGCACCCCACCACGTCGCACACAGCGGGAGCGGGACGGCCGGAGGCGGATCGGCACCCCAGAGCGCTCCCCAGAGACTGCTGCCGGAGGTGAGCCACCGCAGGACCCCGAACCAGGGTAGGTGCGAAGGCGGCGGGCACGATTGGTGGGCACCGCCCGGAGGGAGGAAGGAGTCCGGGGCGGGGCGCTTCTGGCGACCTTGGGTGGACGAGTTGAGGAGGGATTAACCCCCCTCGTCCACCGCGTCGGGGCGCTAGCGAGCCCCGTCGCTTAGGGCCCCGGACTGGGACCCGGAGAGAGGGTGGGGCCGGGTCCCCCTCCCTCCACGAAGGAAACATCCCCCTACCCTCGACCTTAGTGAAAGAACGCCATCAGGCGGAACTTCAACGAGTGGAAACTCTAAACCTGGGGCCTGCTGCCCCGTCCCGCAGAGGCGGATAACTATTACCGGGTTCGCTGATCCCCCCTTCCTACCGGGAGGAGGTGGTCGCACCCATTGTCGGGGGTTCCCCCATCGGGGCCCCTGGGACTGAACAAGCCCTAGGAGGGGGCATGAGGGTTCGCTCACCCCCCCTCTCGGACCAAGAGGGGGTGATCGCACCCTGAAACCCCCCACAGAAGATTACATGAATTTCATGGGACAGATTTTCAAAGTTTTAGCATTATACTGAATGCACATACAAAAATCCCATTGAGATGTAGCAAGATTTGTGCACTTTTCTTTTCCTCTATCATTATTTGAAAAACTAGCCAATATTTTTTTAAAAAAGTGTTATATTAATGAAAGAAAATTAATATATAATCCGAATATGTGAACCTGAATTCAGACTTCCAAGCACTACAAAATAGACTGCAGAAATATGTACTATTTCTTAATTGCATACTGGGCTTTCTTTCTGATTCTAACTTTTATTGCCTCAATTGAACTGTGTAGCATGATTGCACTCACAATAATGATACAAAGGCATGTCAGTCAGAACAAGGATCATAGTTTTTCTTTCCTACCTAAATCACTGTGAGCTTATCCCACATGTGATCTGACTGGCTCAATTGGATAAAGAAGAAATAAAAACTGAAAAGGAGAAAAAACAAGCTTCTTCCAGAGTCTTATGTGGCTCCTGACACCAAACTTTATCTAAAACAGTGGTGAGGAACCAGATGTAGCCCCCAGTTTGCCTGAATATAGCCCCTGAGGCTCAGCTCCCCCCAGCACTGGGAAGCCTGCACTGATGCTATAGCCCCTCTGCTGCCACCCTGGGGGCAGGTTCAGTAGCCCACTACCCAAAAAAAATTCCCCACTTTTGATCTAAAATAACTCATGTTGCATATGGATCAATTTTGGCAGCACAAAAGTATAGTTGTAAAAAACTGGCCAACAAGTGTGTTATTTTGTATTTGCTAACTATTCAAGTCCCACCAGGATTCTGATGAGTCCAACATAATTGTTCTAGACACAGAAAGAGGGTATTAATTGTTTCTTACCTGCTTAGTGTTCAAGCCACTTCCAACCAATTTCTTGACAACTTTGAGCATCTGTCAGATACTCTGTAAGATTACACAACCAAAACTGAATAGTAAATTGTTTTAGTTCGAATATATAGTTATAATTTCACAGAGTTTCTATATTTTAACATTGCTACAAATTCTTGCATTCTTGTGATCTTATAAAAATAAGGTCCCAAATTTATAGAATGGAAGAGATGAAAGAAAACCCTCAGTGTTGCTTAGAAGCATCAAGTTCAACACCGAGAGCCCAATTCTTCAGTAAATTTATTGCAACTACATTGGTCATTGTTGGATCAAGGCTCAAATTCGACATAAGTAAATAACTGTGTTAAAATTCCATGTATTTCCAGAAGATCTGAGTGAATTTGGACAATTTGTTTCCAGTGAGTAATTGCCTAGGGTGAATTACTGAAATCATAATTCCAACAGTGCTATAGTGAATGATATATAGTATGAAAACAGCATGTATGCCTTGCAATCGTATTTGTTATATTTCCCCATTCACAAAAATTAGAACTTGTCTCTGTCTGAATGACTTCTTCCAGATGATGAAGATGATAATGAAGAAAACAGCTTACCCATGAGAGAGATCACAGTGAATCACCCTTTAAATTTCTACATTTGAATTGAAACCCTCAAAGGAAACTACCTGATGACTCTCCCTGCAACAAACTATTTACTAGTAACTTCTATTTGCAATTAAATATGGAATACATGGAAAGCAGCGTGACAGAATATAACTTCAAGGTCGCAGATAGATTTGTGTATTTCATATTAATATTGATATCTCTCCCTCTCAATAAACAATTTACTTGTTAGTGCGAATAGGACTGAATCTTTTGTTTAAAAGTTTTGATAAATATACTTTCAAGATGTGTGCCTTCCAGGTGAGGAATGCATGGCATTGTTAATCAGAGTGGCTGTGTCTAGACTGGCCAGTTTTTCCAGAAAATCAGCCGCTTTTCCAGAAAAACTTGCCAGCTGTCTACATTGGCCACTTGAATTTCTGCAAAAGCACTGACTTCCCACTGTAAGAAATCAGTGCTTCTTGCGGAAATACTATTCTGCTCCCGTTCAGACAAAAGTCCCTTTTGCGCAAAGCTTTTGTGCAAAAGGGCCAGTGTAGACAGCTCAGATTTGTTTTCCGCAAAAAAGCCCCTATCACGAAAATGGCGATTGGGGCTTTTTTGCAAAAAAGAGCATCTAGATTGGCACGGACGCTTTTCCGCAAAAAGTGCTTTTGCAGAAAAGCGTCCATACCAATCTAGATGCTCTGTTCCAAAAATGCTTTTAGCGGAAAACTTTTCTGTTAAAAGCATTTCTGGAAAATCATGCCAATCTAGATGCAGCCAGTATGTAGTATAAACAAAACATGTGATGGAATTAATATCTGGCATGATGTAACAATATATGATGGAATATCAGATAACTGGAGGAACAAGCCATTACTTGATGATACATGAATAGTGACAGAAATCAGTGTAGGAATGCACCCTTTACCTTATGGAAGCTTTGTCAACATTTTGGGAATATCAAAGTTGCCTTTTCACTTTCTCTGTTGCAGTAAATGTAAATTGTGTTTAATGGATGGAAGTGAATTTGTTAGAAGATAGTCTGCAACTGTTTTAATGATTACAGTTGCTAAATACCTAGCATATAACAGGGTCCACTTTAGTTTCACACGTGTAATTTTGAGAAGCAGTATTTTGGCAACGTTGGCTGCAGACTGACAGCAGCAGCAACAATAGTAGAGATAATATCAGCAATCACATACCTCTCTGATAGAGCTTTGATAATTTTCAGGGACTGTGGAACAAAGAACACAATAAGGACTGGCCAACTTTACCTCAGGAAATATTACTTCTTGTTGTGTGACATACATACAGGATATGTGAAAACACTTCAAGTATTTTATGAAGTGCTTTCAATCCAAAAGCATTCTTAAGAACTTAGGTGCTTAAAAAAATTCAAGTTAAATACAAAGTGTTACTGTTAAAATGAAATATTCCTTTTGAAGTAGGAGGAGGCTGCCACTTTGGTGGAGAAAATGTTGTACCAAATAAAAGCAAGCAGGATCTTATGAGGGGGATAAGGCAAAAAGCCACATTTATTGTAAAGATAATAAAAAAAATAAAGAAAAGATAGAAGCAAACAACGTTGTTTAACTACTTAACCCTTGTACATATAAACATTCATTCATTCAGGTTCTGTGGCCAGGTACTCTGTACACAAGTGATGGTAGTGGGGAGCGAAGTCCTGATCAGATGCGCATCTGAAGCTCCTGGTAGGCTGGCAGCAGAACCTTGGACTCTGGTTCCATAGTTTTTTAGTCCAGTTCTTATAGGAATTTCTTCCTATGCCAGTCTATGGAAATTGCTGCATCATGCTGATGTCTCCAGGGTGGCTGCCAGGTGCTCATCAGTGATCTCATCGGGTGGACCTCCAGTTTCTCCACTTGACACCTTTTGGTTGCACTGGCACCTGACGCCTTCTTCAGCCCTTTGTTGCTGTATTCTCAGGCTGGCACCTCTCAGAACCATTCACTCATCATCCAAGCACTCTCTCATACATTCATACAGTATTTTGTATAATAATAAAAGTTGTAGTTACAGAAAGTTTCTGGGTGGTATTGCTTAAAACATTCTCTGACTGCTAAGTAAAGTTAACAATGCCCTTAGACAATTACAGGGCTTGGCTCCCATAGCAGAGTTAGTGGCTTGACAATGCATTGTTACAATGTATCTTTGCAATGTCAATTTCAAGCAGCCCCTTGCACAAGCTTGCGCATGCCCTGGAGCACAGAGGGGGGGGGGCTGTTTCTGGTTACATAGGATTATATTTTTAACAGTTCTAAGTTACATGACCTAATATATTATATTCTAAAGGGGCAATAATAATCATAAATCTAAACATTTAACAATCTTAACAAATAATAATAATAATAAGAAGAAGAATTAATAATAAATCTAAACACTAAGTTGTGGGGAACAAATTATGGGGAGTCACTTCCATTTGGAGGAATCATTTTCAATACATTAATATGTTATCCCTACAAAAGAAGCTTGTACAAGTCAGGCAGGTATTTCAAGATGGCTGACATACAACTGTTTGCTTTCTTGCTAACTAAGACTTCTAAGCTTAGGATGGTGTTTGGATAGTTGTTTCTTATTCTAACTCTTGGTCATGGTCAATTCTTTTGAAGAGAGTAGCATTAAAGCCAATGTAATTTGTGGTAGAGCCAGGAATGGATGCTAACTCTATCTGCCTCCAGTTCTCAGACTGTCACTTGATTATCAACTAGTTATTTTAGTACACATAGTTTATATTATTTTGGTTTGCTTCTACTTATTTGTGCCATCACTATTAGACCAAAATCATAAAGTTTTCTCAAAGAAAGTGGAAGGAATCCAGAAAAATCTAGCCAATAACAAACATCATACAGTATAAATATAGAATTGGAGGAAGTTGGTGTTCCTGAGATGTCTTGCAGTATCTTGTCATGTTAACAGTTTACAAGAGTCAGACAAGGTTCCCGCTGTTGGTGATATTCCTTTGAAAACTGTGCTGGCTACATTCCAAGCTCTGGAGCTGAAGACTTACTCCTTCACACCTTGTCTATTAAACTGTGTCTACTTTACAGAGGTTAGTAATTCTCCTTGAAAGTTGAACACAAAAGTGTTTTCTCTCAGGCTGAGTAAAGAAAATCCTTTGCCTAATGCGACAGCCTGATAAGATTTAGTTCACAGAATGTGAGCTGTGACTATTGTATACCACCTCATCTGCATTATACCCCAGGAAGGATGTAACCTCTATCCATCCAGCAGTATTAGGGTGTCAATTAAGATGATGCAGTTTGGGTGTAAATCATGAGTGAATATGCTAAGGGTACATACACCAAGGCTAGCCAACATAATATCCTCCAGACAAACATATTTAGTGTATTGCCACAGTTGAAAATTGAGAAATCAACAACAGAAGGTAAAGATTTTAGGGTACATGTACACTGCATGGCTATTTCAGGATATTGGAGGTATCCTGAAATAGCTACCCCATGTCTACACAAGCTGCCTGTTATTTCAAAATATTTTGAAATCCAAAAATATTTTTGAAATAACAGACGTGCTATTTTATCATCCCAGTAAACCTCATTGCATGAGGGATAAGGGATTGCTTGAAATAGCATATTATTTCAAAATTTGGTGCTGTGTAGATGCGTCAAATTTCAAAATAAGCTATTTTGAAATAGATTTGAAATAAGGTATGCAATTTTCATAGCACAAATTGAGTATCTTATTTTGAGTTTAGGGTACTGTGTAGATGCACCCTCAGAAACAAAATGAGTAATCTTGTGGCTTTACGCGTTTCCTGTATTTCCTGTAGTGACTAGTGAAAATTAGGGAAAACTGGGTTTAGATCAGACATCCCAGTATGGTTCAGGTATACTCATTCCACTTTTAAATGGAAAAATTTGACTTTGTAAATAAACATATTCAAAACCTGAAAAAAATTAGGAATAATTTTAACTATATGCTGCCATAAAGCATTATGAGAGTCATAATTTGGGTGCTTCAGGATCCCATTCTCTCTATAGGGTTGGTTTTTCAGCTGGCTGCATCTCCCATGATACAGACACAAGAAGACTGGTATACTGTAGAAGATATGGACAGCCCAGGAGCAATGGCCAGGGTTAAACCACCATGGTCTGAACATAATAGTACACAGGAAAACATCCCATTTGTATTATCTACTAATTACTAATCCATTTTCAGCCTAACTTCCCTTTTAAATAGAAGACCAGTCCATTTAAATAGTTATGGATTTTCTACACTAAATTTTCTAAAAATTTGCAGAATGCATTAGTAGTAGTGGTAAATATTTATAACACCCAAATGCCTCTAGCTCCATTTTGTTGAGAAAGATAAGAGAGAAAATCAGTGACACAAAGAGCTTATGACAAATAGATGAAACATACATGGTAAGAAAACCATATGCAGGAAATGAGAAAGGTATAGAATTGGTCCAGCTTTGTGCACTACATA